GGTAGCTGCCAACCCTTCTGGGTACACATAACTTACATAGAAAGTGGTGCCTGCTGTAGCTTTCTCTCTCCAATAAACTCATTTAACATAAAGTATATCAATCAGAAGCTATTTGAATGCAAATGATACTGTCATAATTAATGTGTTTATAACAGTAATATTCCTATAGCATAAAACAATGAAAAGGTTCGGATGGGTATTTTGAAATAGGGCAGAAGATCTTGAAATTGCCTAAGATAGCTGTATCCCAAGCTCTTTAACCTAGAGCCTTGCCACAAAACTATGTTTTCCTCAGCATCATCATGTTGCAATCTTTTTACTGTTGTGCTTGAATGGCCCAGATGTGTTTTCTGAAAACCCACTGTAAGACAGCCATGGCTGATTTGGCAGTCAGCCCAACATGGAGCAGTAGTGGCTGTGCTCTCCCTCAACTCATTTACTGTAGTCTGCTTTGCTTTCCTCATCTTGATGCTGCTCAGTATCAAAATAAACCAGTGTAAAGCCTGCTCTTAAAGGCTGTCATGGGATGATCTGCAGGAAGGCTGATGCACAGTCATCATACCTTTAAGATATTTGTGCAGGAATCTTTCTAAGTGACTTTAATCCTGTAGTTGAAGTGGGCCAACTCACAGCAGTAGGCCAAAGGGAAGTTTCTGGTGGCATTTACTGGATTCTCTTTATGGTGTGCATTCAGTTACACAGATCCTCGATTGTTTTGGATATACAGAGAAAGTAGGGCTCTACTTGCTTTTCTTCAGATACACCTACTTGTTCCCTGTCTTAGTAACTTCTAAACAAGACTGTCAAGCAATACTCCTGCCCTCCAAGCCATGTTTTTCTTTTTGTAAACTATGCATCCAATTTTTTTCCTTTCAAATCTCTCCTCGTCTTTTTAGCCTCATTTATGTTTCTCCAAATGCAGGCATTATCCATAAGCCTGCTTCAGAATCCAGTTATAGCTTCACAAGGATAGGTTTAAGGGAGAATAAAACTTGTGCAAAAGGATGCTCATGTGATTCACTCATAGTACATGAAATTGTGTCCATCTCTTCAGAATGCTGCTGCTCGCATACCTGCTGGGATGACCAACTGAAGATGTAAGCAATATTAATCTTGTGCTTAGGACTCAGTTGACTTCTGCAGTGAGGAAACGAGTTCTTCCAACTTCTTACCTTTTGGTCTTTTTGGCATGGCACTACCCTGTGCAGTTCCCAATAAGAGAAATACTTATCATGTTAGTACTTTGATGACCTCACACTGAAAGCTGTTTGTTGTAAAATAGTCACGATGATATGATTTAAGGGTTACTTAGAGATGTAGCCAGCTACCCATTTGGGACCTAGAATTGTTAAACTAATGTTATATCACTTTTTAAATCACTGTTGTAGTTTTAAGTGGTAAAACTAGTGGTGTTATTTGTTAGCTTTCTGTAAGATAAGCCAAGATGTATGGGGAAGCTTTGTCTCTCTTACTGGATGAACTGATGTAGTTGGAAAAACAATATGCAGGTTTTTTGATCCATCATATCTGCTATATTGGTTGTACCTGGGAGACATTTGATATTGCATGACGCTGATGAGTAAATTGGATACAAAGTCAAAATGGCATTTCTGAAGCAGACTAAAACATGATTAAATGCTTAAGTATAATTACGAAGTGGGAATCATTGTTGAAGGTGATTTGTTTCTGGAGATATTCCAGAGGGCTGGGGCCAAGAAATGATCTTTGTAAGACCTTGCTAATTCCAGGACATCAATGTACTGATAAAGTTTGTAGGTTAGAGAAGGAAGTCATAAACAATAAAAGAGAGGAGTGCTGACTGATCTGATCTGGGTTGTTTGGAAAGCTCCATGCTTTCCAAAGTAAATTTCCATAGTACATTTCCAAAGTAAATTTGGAAATTTGGAAAGTAGATTTTACTTTCCAAAATACATTTCCATAGTAAATTACATCTATTTCAATAAAGTAGAGTAACATGTATATGGGAACAAAGATCATCAGCCATACTGTATGTAATAACAGCAGTCCTGATAAAGGTTTGAGGTAGATGAGAAATGTATAAGTTGGCTTGGGGTGGTCTGCTAAACAACTGGGATTCTCAGTGGGGAGGAGACTGAACGGACACCCTGGTTGATGAAATACTGGGTATCCACTAAGAAAAGGAGAGTGATATAACATCCATGTAGCACTGGCCTGACCTGAAATATCTGGAGCTGAAATATCTGGAGCAGTTATAGTTCACAAATCGAGGAGATTAAATGGGAACTGTTGAAAGGCTGCTTCACCGAAAGAAATTGAGGGAGTGCTACCTATATGTCTCTATCTTCACTACCTTGAAGTTACTATTAGGGGAGGAGAAATTTGGTAAAATTTCAGCACGTCAGCACACAAATTCATAATAAAACCACTATCCAGTAGTCAATGCAGGACCAATCAGTATTCTAAAGAAGAGGCAGAGTTACAGGTTTTTCTGCAAATGACTGTAAGCAATCACTATAACATCTCCACAGTGGCTGTAATGGAGCAGTCTTGATTTTTAACTCAAATCTATCACACCAAGTAGAAATAAAAAGGACTATGTACTAGAAGCAAAAAATGCATACATGTAAGTTCTACAGCTTACATAAAGCACCGGGTTAGAAATCCCAGTGGTGCTGTCTGATCTTAAACTGCTATAAACTTCGACTCAGAGAGACATATTGGAACTGACTTTTCCTAGTGCTATTCAGATCTGACTTTTTAACTCAATCTTTCATAATTTTTTTTTTTTTTCCCCACTCTTTTCTGTAAACATAATTGGAACCATCCAAGCTCAGCAGCATGAGGTTTACAAGCTAGAACCAGCTGGCTCCATCTCTTCATCAGTGTAATGTCCCAGCCCTATATGTTCTTTGGTAGCACTGACTTGCAGAACAGCAGTGTCAGCTGGCAGCAAGGGATGAGAGAAGATCTGTGACTAAGTCAGACTGCTTGCCCAGATCTGTGATGTGGCCCTAGTTTCCAAATGAGCAGGATCTTGTCTTGCTGGTTTGATGGAGCCAGGAGGGCTGCTCCATTGCCTTTGTTATTGGTTCCTCCTTCTTTGAGTTGGTAACAAAATGGATGCATAGCAAGCAAAAGAAGAGTGACTAGGAGGAAGAAAGTCTTAAATATATTCTCACATATAGGAAATTTTATAGTGGAGAAAATCCCACTTGGCTGCTTCTGTTTTAATTTCCCTCAGCTTCTCATCCTGAGGAACAGCTGTGAGTGGAAACCAGAGGGGCCTCCATTGGCTGGTGAGACATTGCCAGCAGCTGTTACTGATCTGAGAGCCTCACAGCCCCTGAGTCACCTGGAAACAAATCAAACTGCAGGGTCTGCTTTAATGCTGGGAGAGATGTTGTGAGGAGAGGTCTTGCTGAATATTGATGAAAGCAAGCACCTTGGCTTAAAGAAATATCATATAAAGTTGTTTTAATAACTGTGTGTGCTAAGAACAAGCATCTAAAATCAGGATTCTATTGATGTAGTGTCTTAATGAGGTTGCAAAGATGTTTTCCTTCTTTATTGTGCTATTTCTCATATTTTACCTTTCCCCAGTGTTTGATTTTTTTTTCCCAACACCAGGCTTTCATTTACAGCACTTCCGTTGATTTAAAAGGGCTTTGGATCAGGCTCCGAATTACCATTTCCCTTCTGTTTGAAGAGGGATTTTCTTCTACCCAGAGGAAGGAAATCAATAATTTGTCATGGCAAACTAACACTCATTTGGAACCACAATCACATGGTGAGCTTTTCTGTCGTTTTCTAAAGCTTTGGAGGTTAATGGAAGAAGAGTCTTCCTTGTGATCTTTGTTTTCTTTTGTTTTCCCCAATTGATTTAGGTACTGTACTCCACTGGACCATTTGTAGAATGGATTGTGGTAAAATTTATCACGATTTGTTTTAAAGGCAGTGTTGCCTTACTGTGCTTTCTGTGTCCTAGGTTGTTCCCAGGGCTCCATTCAGGGATCAGTCTGAGGATTAACTTTTTTTTTTGCGTGACAAATTAACAAACATAGTCGTAGGAACAGGTTATCGTATACCTTGATGGAACAGTGAATACTCTGTACTATTCATTTCCACTAGGAGTTTTGAACAGGGTAGATTTCTATTCAGCAGAGCTCCATTCCCCTTAGGCACAGCCACCTCTCTGAAATCCCCCCAGCACACCGACCCCATCCCAGGCTGTCTGCACAGGTGCAATCCTGCCGTTGCTTTCCTTGCATCTCGTATAGAGCTTGTTGTTCGAGCCCAGAGCCCCGCACTCGGTGCTCCCAGCGTTGTGGGGGCCCCGGACCCAGAGTTTTTCCCCTGAATGCTTCTCTGTGCGTCGATTTGTGCTAGAAGGGGCACGGGCACCCCGTGCTGGGGCAGGGTGCACCTGCCGCTCATCGGGCTGGCTACCGGAGCCAGGTGCTGGCACCGGACCGCGCAAATTGCCGACAGCTGCCCAGGTGCGTTCTGCTGAAGCATTCGACCCCCAGCCTTACAGCTGCTGGCAGTCAGAACCCGCTAAGCGGGACAGCCCCCCGCAGAGGGAGGCAGAGTTGGGGCTTGGGGTGGGGCTGCCGGGATGCTGAGCGAGGTTGGCTCCGGGGGGGCACTGCGGGCTATGCGATCGCCAGCCGCGGGCGGGGGGGAGCGGGGCGATCCTGCCCGGCCGTGATTGGCAGCGCGGCGGTGTCCCCTCCCGGCTGGTGCTTCCCCTCTGCCGGCTCCGCGTTGAGGAGGGGCCGGGGCTGCAGCGCCGGCAACGCGCACACCGCCGCGCCCTGAGCAGCCCCTGCAGCCCGGCCGCTCCCGCCGCTTTCCTTAGCCTGGGAATTTTTTCTTTTTTTTTTTTTGGTTGTTATTTGTTTCCTTCCCCCTCCCCCCCACCTCGCATACTCCCCTCTTGCATCTTTTGGCTGCTTCCCCATCTCGCCCGCCCGGCGCCCTCCCCGCGGGCTGCCTCGGCGGGCGCTCAGCGCGGGGCCATGCCGGTGGGGCCGGCGCTGCTGCTGCGAGGCGCCTTCGTCGTCCTCCTCCTCCTCGTCCTGCTGCTGCTCTCCCTCGGCTCCCCGGCCCGAGCAGCCGTCTACACCAACCAGTTCTTGGTGGAGCTGCACGGCGGGGACCAGGCGGAGGCCGAGCGGGTGGCGGCGGATCACGGCTTCGGAGGGGTGCGCAAGGTAAGAGCTGCCCGGAGCCGCTGGGAGCGGGGATGGAGCACGGCCGCGTCCTACAGCCGCACGGCTTCGGGAGTCCGCTTCCCGCAGCCGCTGCACGGCAGTCTCCCGGGAGGGCGTTCTGCTCGGACTGGGAGGTGAGGAGTTTCCCACATGCTGGGTAGCTCGGCGGCGTCTTTGGACTTCGCTACGTAAACATCCTCCAATTGAGCTCCCATCCTGCGGGGCTCGGGAGCGGTGTGGGGCAGAGCGCAGCGGGGGCCGGGCCGCCCGAGAGCTTCCTGAGCACGGCTGGAATTGAAAACTGCTCCGAGCGCTGAAAATAATTAAAGCTGTATCTCCATGGAGAAGCTCGCACACGATTTAAATGGCAGATTTCTTAGGGATTTTGACACTTAAGTTTGAGAGGCTGGCAGCTTCCTTCGTGTCCCTGTTATTCTCGTGGAGAAATAGGACATTGTCAAGGCAGAGAATCCACTTGATATTAAGCATGGTATGCAATCAGTGCTCATCGCAATTTGATGTAAGTTGGGAAACTTCGAGTTCTATTGGAGGCTGTTTTCTCTCCTCAGGTCCTAGAAAGTCCTCGGTAGCTTTTGTGTCAAGGAGTCCCTGCCCAGCTCCTGGTGAGCCTTGCTGTGCTGGAAATCTCTAACTGCAATAGTAATCAGAGCTGTAAACAGTTTAGTGTACAATCAGTGGGTCTAATACAGTGTACTGGTCGGGATGATTCCTGGCAGTACTTGGTTGGAGGGGTGTGGAGGGAAATAGAGCTCTGTGAGCATTATTTGGGTTTTTTCTTTTCCTGGTAGTTATGCAATGAGATCCTGATCTGACTTCCAAGGAAGTGAATGGAAATTGCGTGCTGAACTTGACTAAGTGAAATGATTTAATCCCCTGGGATACCTGTGTGTCTGTCCTATGAAGTGAGACTCACTTCCTCAGGCTGCCTTGACTCCAGTGGGGGCTTGTTACAGAAATGAGGACAGTGTCTTTGTTGCTTTGAACACCACCACTGCCTGCTGCTGATAAGATGCTTTTGTTTTGGGCTTGTCCTGGTAGTGGTGGGGCTGCTCTCCTGCTGCCTTTGGGACAGGAGCTGTTACAGGGATTTGGTCATGTTACCTGAAACTTTGTAAATAGTGTTGTTTGGTCAACAGTTTTCCCTTGTTATTGCTCTCTGCCTGCACTCCTTCCTTCATATTCTATCCTATCCTGGGGGTACCTGTCTGATAGGGCCTCAGGAGGAGGGAAGAGTACCTTGCTGCGGAGCTGAATTTCTTTTTACCTTAGCTAGATGCTTACAAATGCTGCTGTGACCATGTTGGGAAGAGATGGGGAGTGCGGGGGAGGGAGGGGGAAACGAATGTAGAATGAAGAAGAGCAGCTTCTGTTACAGTTGTCTTCCCAGGGCTTGTTAAGATGCATACTGATTCCACATGGAAATTGGTTTTTTAGCTCGTCTTGGCAAGAACTGGAGGGAGATCCCCCAGGTATGTGGGAGGAGAGGATTTGCTTTCCGTGCCTATCTCAGGGATGCTGTGTCCCTTGGATGCTGGAGTCCCATGGAACAAAGCCTTGCAGAGCTGCGGTGCTTTCTGAGTGTGCTCACAGCGAGGAGGAGGTGGCAGAGGCTCTTGTACTGTGCACGTGCCGTCCCAAGAGGTTTTCAGGTTACATCATCCTAGTCCTTGAAAAGCTAGAAAGCCTCCCACCCTGTGCCTACAAATCTGAGAGAAAATACTGCCCTGCTCTCTGCAAGGCAGAGATTTTAGGGAGTGGGAGGAGTTCCTAGAGTTTGGCACTTAGCTGAGGATAATCCATCAGAGCCTGATGGCAATCTGCAGGGGAAATCTGAACGGGGAGACAGGTGGGTGTCAGTAAAAGCGTGTGCCATCTACACAGGTGTCTCTTCAGTACTGCTGGATAGAAGAGCCTCCTGATCTGTTTTGCTCTCATTGGGCTTATCTAGCATCTCAGTTTATAGTCTGCAGGCCTCACTTTAACAGTAATAACAGCAGTGCAAAAAGTTAAACGCGGACGTGTGTGAGCATACAAACAGAGCTGGGAGTGGTAAACTCTCTGGGTGAAAGTACCATCTATAGAACGTGCTGTCTACATTCTTGGAAAATTAGGAAAAAAATATGCAAGAAGAAATGATTTTTCCATGCTTCACATGTACTGTTTGGACATTACACTGCATTATTTATTTAAACTAAATCCAGTTACCCTTACCAGTACTGAGGAAATACTGCTGTCTGAAAGCGGTCACCTTTGTTTCAGTGCAGGTATTTTCCTGGCAGTAGTAAAGGGCAGGTACAGCTTTTTTTTCTGGAAGGATTTAAGATGTGTAGAAGAGGGATTGCTTTTATACTTGTTATATATCACAGACGTGTGTTCCCATGTCTTTGCGGGAGCTGATTTTTAAATTACATATTTTTAGTGCTCACGGCTTTTCCCTGATAACACACAAACTGTGCACAAGTGCATATTGCAGTTATTTAACAACAAACTTCTGCAGGAATGCAAAGGAGAACATTGCCTTGAAGATTAATGTCATGAACAGTGTGCTGTGCTTTCTAATTGATTCCTTGGCCGTGTTCCCTGCCATCATTCCAACGCTTCTGCAAGACTACAGGTGGGCTAAAATATGTGCTTTAAATGTGGTGCACATTTAATTATTTCAGGAGGGCTCGGTGCTCACATAAACAGCTGCCTGATTTAGATTTCGGGCCCTAACATGAGGCAGAGTCTCAAGAATGCTGACCAATTTTCTTTAACTTTTCCTGAATTGACCTCAAATATGGACTTCTGCAAATCTAATTGTGTTGATTCTTTTTAGTGTTTACAGTTTTGCAGTCCGTTTGTGTGTACTTCTGTATATTCCCTATGAAACAAATGCTGTGATAAAGCATGTTCTTATTTAAAATGCTTATGCCATCTTCAAGCAAACAGGAGTCAGGAGGCAAAACCCTAATAGCTACATCATGTTAAATTGTGAGAACTATGAAAGGAACAACTTCCCTTTTTTTGTTTGCCTTCTGGCACCTTACCACCAGAATGCATTTCTTAATGCGGGCTGAAAAAAGCTGCTTTTTGATCTTGTACTGCAGTTCTTATTCCTTTTTACCAAGGGGAGCTGAAAGAAACATTTGGATAGGTCTCATAACTGGAGATCAGAGCTCAGGTATCTCTTCCATTTCACCAGCAATGCTGAGGCAGATACAATCTACAAAATGCCGCATATCTAAATATTCTGCTGCTTGTAGCACTGAGGTGAAAGGTTTTATAACAGTTGGTGTTGAGTGGCCGCAGATTTCAGAACATGGGGAATCTTATGTCACCCAAAGTGACTTTCTGCTTTCAGTTTTTTGCTTAGGAGACTGCTAGTTTAGGACCAAGCTTTATGGAGCTGCCTGTGACTTTATGGATGAAACGATGGGAGCTCGTGTGTACTTACACGGTGCAGACACCATTTTGCCTAAAGCAAAACTTACCCACAAATAAGCCAGAATTCTTACTTGGGCAGCCCAATTTGTCTGCATCTAATGTGGAAACAGATGATGCAGCAATGGAACATCCCATGCAAAGGAGAGTCAGGGAGCCTGTCCTCCCCATATGAGTCCATTGGAGTCTGAAGACTTGATGTCAAGTCTCAGACTGCAGTATTTCTATGCGCTAATATGTTTAATAATTAATTAGCTTTGCATTTTATGTTGGCCTAGAGGGAAGGGTGCTTGTTTGCACAAAGTAATCCTTCATTGTAGAAACAGAAAAAGCCTTTCTAGAACTGGAAGGTACAGTGTTACTAAGGAAATGTACAAAGAAACTAGGACAAGCAGAAACTTCTTGCAAATACTAATTGTGCAGCTACCAAGATTTCAGTAGGTTTCACCATAAAAGAAAATGCTTCAGTTTTCGAGGGTGAATCTGAGCTGATGTGTTCAAGTTAAGGGGAAAAAACAATTAACTGCTAGGGAAAGTTTGATCCTGCTGTGGTAAGATGTGCTGCTGGGGGATGATGGATAGCTCATTTTTCCAGAAAGACCTGGAAGAAAGTAATTTTGGAGATGTGGAAAGAGCAGCCACCAGGGTCTGGACCCGCATCAGTTCCATGCCTGCAGAATGCTGGCAGTGCATCGCCAGGCTCTGGCTGGGAAGTCCCATCGGCTCCTGTTTACACCCTAGAGAAGTGTTAGAGGAATTAATTCAGTTATACTGTGGCAGCAGGGAGTTTGCCTCATATGTGAAACAATATATTCCTTTCAAAATGGTGCTTTTTTGTTGTTGCTGTTATATTCTCTTTGGCATTCCAACTTGGACATAAGAGCAGCAACAGTAGTGAACACTTCAGCTGGCTAACTGAGCACAAAAGGTCCCATGTTAGTTCAATGCACTTGCTCAGACATGTGAAAGCTGGACTCTATCCACATAAAGAAAACAAATGCTCATGCACATCCCTCAGCCAGTGTCTGCTGAGCTCCTTCCCTATCAGAGACCCAAACTGGCTGCTTGCTGGCGGTGAGTGTTCTGTTTGAGGTGTAAAATAATTACCTTGTCAGCTTTCTGTAGCATCTATTCTTTGAATGCAAAACAAGGTCAGACTCCCCTGCTATGGATCCCTGCTGTAATTGCTCTATTACTGTTTTCAATACATGGTATAGTTCTGTTTCCTAGCAAGACATGCAAGTTAAACCTTACTTTTACAGATACGTTTTATTTACTGTGTTACAGCTCAAATGAAAAATTGTTTGCTTGTAAAGCTGCTTGTGTTTTTTATTTATTCCATACAGCCTGAACTCAATGGCAAAATTGCTCATGTGACAGAGAACCAGGAAATGCCCCATCAGACTTTTTTCACTTTTTTTCTTCAAGCTGCAGCCCAACTCAGGACATACGGTGATTTCTTTACATTATAATTAGTTTTACCAGTGTCAAGGAGAAAAATAGAGAAAATGCACAAAGAAGTGAACAGCATTTCCAGATACTGTGCTCACACCAGA